GGTTAGATCTTAGTCCTGGTTTAGTCCTGGTTTAGTCCTGGTTTAGTCTTGGTTTAGTCCTGGTTTAGTCTTGGTTTAGTCCTGGTTTAGTCCTGGTTTAGTCTTGGTTTAGTCCTTGGTTTAGTCCTGGTTTAGTCTTGGTTTAGTCTGGTTTAGTCCTGGTTTAGTCCTGGTTTAGTCCTGGTTTAGTCCTGGTTTAGTCCTGGTTTAGACCTGGTTTTAGTCCAGTTTTAGTCCTGGTCTAAACCAGGACTGGTTTAACCTTTGTACAGGTGTTGGTATTAGACGTGCTCTCAGGAACTCGGACTTGACCAGGATTCGGATCCAGAATCAACTCAGGTTCAACTTGGACTCAGACCTGGACTCAGACCTGGACTCAGACCTGGACTCAGACCTGGACTCAGACCTGGACTCAGACCTGGACTCAGGCCTGACCTGGAGCCTGACCTGGAGCCTGACCTGGAGCCTGACCTGGAGCCTGACCTGGAGCCTGACCTGAGTCGTGTGTCAGTCTGCAGGTGGAGGTGTCTCTGGTGCAGGACGTGATGAAGATGAAGCTGGTGTCCCTGAGTCCATCTGAGCTCAGTCTGGAGATCATCCCCGATCCCGGTTTAGACCCTGGTCCTCCTTTAGAGCCTGGTCTAGATCCTGGTCTAGATCCTGGTCCTGGTCTGGACTCGGAGCCTCTGAGGCTCACGGTGAAGTTTGGTCCAGACGACACCTTCACTCTGCAGGTACCGAGGTCACCACAGATCTTCATCATCTGAGTTTAGTCCAAATCCCTGGTTCAGTCCTGATTTAGACCTGATTTAGTCCAGATTTATTCCTGGTTCTGGTTCTGTCTGAGTCCTGGTTCTGGTTCTGGTCTTTGTAGGTGAGTGAGGTCTGGGGTCTGGAGGACGGTTCTTCTGGGTCCAGGTTCGATCTCAGGTCGGTTTTGTTGGAGCTGCTGCAGAAGTTCAGAGGTCAGAGTGAACTCCTGAGCGAGATCCAGACTCTTCGCCACAGGTAAGACCCGGAATGACCCGGATGCCCTCCCAGAAACGCCCCTCCCTTCACGCCGTGTTGTTGTTGTCGTTGCAGTTTTGCGATCGATTGGCGTCCGTCTCTTCGCCGTCTCGTGTTCCTGAAAAGCGCCGCCGTCGTGTGTGAGCTGCAGGTGGAGGACGGATACCCGAGGAGAGGGGGCGTGACCCTGCTGTCGGTGCAGAGGGAGGGGGCACGCCGTGACATCACAGACGTACAGGTGAGCGCCGTGACATCACAGACATACAGGTGAGCGCCGTGACATCACAGACGTACAGGTGAGCGCCGTGACATCACAGACGTACAGGTGAGCGCCGTGACATCACAGACCTACAGGTGAGCGCCGTGACATCACAGACCTACAGGTGAGCGCCGTGACATCACAGACGTACAGGTGAGAGCGCCGTGACATCACAGACGTACAGGTGAGAGCGCCGTGACATCACAGACCTACAGGTGAGAGCACCTTGACATCACAGACATACAGGTGAGCGCCGTGACATCACAGACCTACAGGTGAGCGCCGTGACATCACAGACCTACAGGTGAGCGCCGTGACATCACAGACGTACAGGTGAGAGCGCCGTGACATCACAGACGTACAGGTGAGAGCGCCGTGACATCACAGACCTACAGGTGAGCGCCGTGACATCACAGACCTACAGGTGAGCGCCGTGACATCACAGACCTACAGGTGAGCGCCGTGACATCACAGACCTACAGGTGAGCGCCGTGACATCACAGACCTACAGGTGAGAGCGCCGTGACATCACAGACGTACAGGTGAGCGCCGTGACATCACAGACGTACAGGTGAGAGCCGTGACATCACAGACGTACAGGTGAGCGCCGTGACATCACAGACGTACAGGTGAGAGCGCCGTGACATCACAGACCTACAGGTGAGAGCGCCGTGACATCACAGACCTACAGGTGAGCGCCGTGACATCACAGACCTAGAGGTGAGAGCGCCGTGACATCACAGACCTACAGGTGAGCGCCGTGACATCACAGACGTACAGGTGAGCGCCGTGACATCACAGACGTACAGGTGAGCGCCGTGACATCACAGACGTACAGGTGAGAGCGCCGTGACATCACAGACGTACAGGTGAGCGCCGTGACATCACAGACGTACAGGTGAGCGCCGTGACATCACAGACGTACAGGTGAGCGCCGTGACATCACAGACGTACAGGTGAGCGCCGTGACATCACAGACGTACAGGTGAGCGCCGTGACGTCACAGACGTACAGGTGAGCGCCGTGACGTCACAGACCTACAGGTGAGAGCGCCGTGACATCACAGACCTACAGGTGAGCGCCGTGACATCACAGACGTACAGGTGAGCGCCGTGACGTCACAGACGTACAGGTGAGCGCCGTGACGTCACAGACCTACAGGTGAGCGCCGTGACATCACAGACGTACAGGTGAGCGCCGTGACGTCACAGACATGTGGGGAGTGGGAGGGGACAGGTGAGGGGGCGGAGTTATGTTCCATTTAAGAGTTTAACCTTTTTTTTTTGTTTGTTTTTGTTTGTTTCAGAATCAAGAAAAGAAATTGTCCCTCACACAGTGGCTCCTGCTGCTCAGCTCCTCCCCCCAAGTCTGAACCAGGACTGGACCAGGTCTGGACCAGGTCTGGACCAGGTCTGGACCAGGTCTGGACCAGGTCTGGACCAGGTCTGGACCAGGTCTGGACCAGGTCTGGACCAGGACTTTTTGATCCCTCTCTTCATGTGATTTTTAACCTTCTGTTCCTGTTTGTGTTTGTGAATAAAATGTGTTTATCTCCCGACAGTCGAGACTTATTTACATTCATAAAACAGTAAACTAACAGGGACTAGACCGGGACTAGACCGGGACTAGACCGGGACTAGACCGGGACTAGACCTAGACCGGGACTAGACCGGGAGTTCAGAGTCTCCTCAGAGTTGGATCGTGGTGAAACTTCCTCTGGGTTGTGTTTCGTATTTTTTAGTGTGATTAAAAAAAAACTTCCTTTATTTAATTTTATGTTCTGACTAAAAAGTTCCAGACTGTGGCTTTAAGGCTCAAATCTTTGTTGACTCAGAGGATTTTATTCTCGATCGTCGGTCTGTGTCCTTCAGGTGAATCGATGAGACGATCAGATCCTGACGACGACAAAGTGTAAAACGAATCAAACAAAACAGGTCAAAGAATAAAAAGAGTTTTATTAAAATCAGAACGTTTGTCTGTAGCGGCAGAGCGAGGTCAGAGGTCAGAGGTCAGAGGTCAAAGGTCACCCCAGGAACGTGGAGATGAAGACGCTCGTGTCCAGGTTCAAGGTCGCGTGCCACCAGCGGTCAGGGAAGAACAGCACCTGCAGCAAACGGACCCGGTTTAGACCTGGTTTAGACTCCGGTTTAGTACTGGTTAAGGTCCTGGTTTAGTTCCAGTTTAGTCTCTGTTTAGTCCCGGTCTGGTCTCGGTCTGGTCCCGGTCTGGTCCCGGTCTGGTCCCGCTCTGGTCCCGGTCTGGTCCCTGTTTAGTCCCGGTCCGGTCCCGGTCTAGTCCCGGTCCGGTCCCAGTCTGGTCCCTGTTTAGTCCCGGTCTGGTCCCGGTCTAGTCCCGGTCCGGTCCCAGTCTGGTCCCTGTTTAGTCCCGGTCTGGTCCCTGTTTAGTACCGGTCTGGTACCGGTCTGGTACCGGTCGGTCTGGTCCCGGTCTGGTCTCGGTCTAGTCCCGGTCCGGTCCCGGTCTGGTCCCTGTTTAGTCCCGGTCTGGTCCCTGTTTAGTCCCGGTCCGGTCCCTGTTTAGTCCCGGTCCGGTCCCTGTTTAGTCCCGGTCCGGTCCCTGTTTAGTCCGGTCCGGTCCGGTCCTGGTTTAGTTCAGGTCTGGTCTCGGTCTGGTCTCGGTCCGGTCCCTGTTTAGTCCCAGTCTGGTCCCTGTTTAGTCCCGGTCTTGTCCCTGTTTAGTCCCGGTCTGGTCCCTGTTTAGTCCCGGTCCGGTCCAGGTCCGGTCCTGGTTTAGTTCAGGTCTGGTCTCGGTCTGGTCTCGGTCCGGTCCCTGTTTAGTCCCGGTCTGGTCCCTGTTTAGTCCCGGTCTTGTCCCTGTTTAGTCCCGGTCTGGTCCCGGTCTGGTCTCCCGGTCTGGTCCCGGTCTGGTCCCGGTCTGGTCCCGGTCTGGTCCGGTCTGGTCCCGGTCTGGTCCCGGTCTGGTCCCGGTCCGGTCCCGGTCTGGTCCCTGTTTAGTCCCGGTCTGGTCCCTGTTTAGTCCCGGTCGGTCTAGTCCCGGTCTAGTCCCGGTCTGGTCCCGGTCCGGTCCCGGTCTGGTCCCTGTTTAGTCCCGGTCTGGTCCTGGTTTAGTCCCGGTCTAGTCCCGGTCTAGTCCCGGTCTGGTCTCGGTCTAGTCCCGGTCCGGTCCCGGTCTAGTCCCGGTCCGGTCCCGGACTGGTCCCTGTTAAGTCCCGGTCTGGTCCCTGTTTAGTCCCGGTCCGGTCCCTGTTTAGTCCCGGTCCGGTCCCTGTTTAGTCCCGGTCCGGTCCAGGTCCGGTCCTGGTTTAGTTCAGGTCTGGTCTCGGTCTGGTCTCGGTCCGGTCCCTGTTTAGTCCCGGTCTGGTCCCTGTTTAGTCCCGGTCCGGTCCAGGTCCGGTCCTGGTTTAGTTCAGGTCTGGTCTCGGTCTGGTCTCGGTCCGGTCCCTGTTTAGTCCCGGTCTGGTCCCTGTTTAGTCCCGGTCTGGTCCCGGTCCGGTCCCTGTTTAGTCCCGGTCTGGTCCTGGTTTAGTCCCGGTCTAGTCCCGGTCTGGTCTCGGTCTAGTCCCGGTCCGGTCCCGGTCTGGTCCCTGTTTAGTCCCGGTCCGGTCCCTGTTTAGTCCCGGTCTAGTCCCGGTCCGGTCCAGGTCCGGTCCTGGTTTAGTTCAGGTCTGGTCTCGGTCTGGTCCCGGTCTGGTCTCGGTCTGGTCTCGGTCCGGTCCCTGTTTAGTCCCGGTCCGGTCCCTGTTTAGTCCCGGTCTGGTCCCTGTTTAGTCCCGGTCTGGTCCCTGTTTAGTACCGGTCTGGTCTCGGTCTAGTCCCGGTCTGGTCCCGGTCCGGTCCCGGTCCGGTCCCTGTTTAGTCCCGGTCTGGTCCTGGTTTAGTCCCGGTCTAGTCCCGGTCTGGTCTCGGTCTAGTCCCGGTCTGGTCTCGGTCTGGTCCCTGTTTAGTCCCGGTCCGGTCCCGGTCTGGTCCCTGTTTAGTCTCGGTCTGGTCCCTGTTTAGTCCCGGTCCGGTCCCGGTCTGGTCCCGGTCTGGTCCCGGTCTGGTCCCTGTTTAGTACCGGTCTGGTCTCGGTCTGGTCCCGGTCTGGTCCCGGTCCGGTCCCGGTCTGGTCCCTGTTTAGTCCCGGTCTGGTCCTGTTTAGTCCCGGTCTGGTCCTGGTTTTAGTCCCTGGTCCCTGTTTAGTCCCGGTCTGGTCTCGGTCTAGTCCCGGTCTGGTCTCGGTCTGGTCCCTGTTTAGTCCCGGTCCGGTCCCGGTCTGGTCCCTGTTTAGTCTCGGTCTGGTCCCTGTTTAGTCCCGGTCCGGTCCCGGTCTGGTCCCTGTTTAGTCCCGGTCCGGTCCCTGTTTAGTCCCGGTCCGGTCCCGGTCTGGTCTCGGTCTGGTCTCGGTCTAGTCCCGGTCTAGTCCCGGTCTGGTCCCTGTTTAGTCCCGGTCTAGTCCAGGTCTAGTCCCGGTCTGGTCCCTGTTTAGTCCCGGTCCGGTCCCGGTCTGGTCCCGGTCTGGTCTCGGTCTGGTCTCGGTCTGGTCCCTGTTTAGTCCCGGTCTAGTCCCGGTCCGGTCTCGGTCTGGTCCCTGTTTAGTCCCGGTCTGGTCCCTGTTTAGTCCCGGTCTGGTCCCTGTTTAGTCCCGGTCTAGTCCCGGTCCCTGGTCCCGGTCCCTGGTCCCTGTTTTAGTCCCGGTCTGGTCGGTCTGGTCCGGTCTAGTCCCGGTCTGGTCCCTGTTTAGTCCCGGTCTAGTCCAGGTCTAGTCCCGGTCTGGTCTGGTCCCTGTTTAGTCCCGGTCCGGTCCGGTCCGGTCCGGTCGTCTCGGTCTGGTCCCTGTTTAGTCCCGGTCTAGTCCCGGTCCGGTCTCGGTCTGGTCCCTGTTTAGTCCCGGTCCCGGTCCCTGTTTGGTCCCTGTTTAGTCCCGGTCTAGTCCCGGTCTGGTCCCTGTTTAGTCCCGGTCTGGTCCCTGTTTAGTCCCGGTCTAGTCCCGGTCTGGTCCCGGTCTGGTCCCTGTTTAGTCCCGGTCTGGTCTCGGTCTAGTCCCGGTCTGGTCCCTGTTTAGTCCCGGTCTAGTCCAGGTCTAGTCCCGGTCTGGTCCCTGTTTAGTCCCGGTCTGGTCCCTGTTTAGTCCAGGTCTAGTCCCGGTCTGGTCCCTGTTTAGTCCCGGTCCGGTCCCTGTTTTAGTCCCGGTCCGGTCCCTGTTTAGTCCCGGTCCGGTCCCTGTTTAGTCCCTGTTTAGTCCCTGTTTAGTCCCGTCTCGGTCCGGTCCCGGTCCGGTCCCGTACTTCTCCGGGGCGGATGGTGCACTCCAGGGGGGCGTCCTCCAGGCTCAGGCTGGGGTAGGTGTGAGTGACCCAGGACAGGGAGCTCCTGTTGGGGTGGAAGTGCGGCGTTTTGTCTGGAGGAAACAGGAACCAGCGCTGAAAACAAACACTCAGTTAGTCCAGGTTCAGTTCTGGTTTAGTCCCAGTCCGGTCCCGGTTTAAACCCGGTCCGGTCCCGGTCCACACCTTGCGTCCGTAGATGACCTCAGAGAACCCGGGGCCGTGCCAGTGGAACGGGACTCCAGTTCCAGCTCCTGGACCAAAGACGAGAACAAAACCAGATCAGAACCAGAACCAAGAGGAAGAAGAAGAAGAAGAAGAAGAAGAAGAAGAAGAAGAAGAAGAAGAAGAAGAGGAGGAAGAAGAAGAAGAAGAGGAGGAGGAAGAAGAAGAAGATTAGGAAGACTATCAGGATTAATAACAGCAGCAGAAGTAGTACTTGTAGTATTTGTAGTATTTGTAGTACTTGTAGTATTTGTAGTATTTGTAGTACTTGTAGTATTTGTAGTACTTGTAGTACTTGTAGTACTTGTAGTATTTGTAGTACTTGTAGTATTTGTAGTAGTTGTAGTATTTGTAGTACTTGTAGTACTTGTAGTACTTGTAGTACTTGTAGTATTTGTAGTATTTGTAGTATTTGTAGTACTTGTAGTACTTGTAGTACTTGTAGTACTTGTAGTATTGTAGTTGTAGTACTTGTAGTACTTGTAGTACTTGTAGTATTTGTAGTACTTGTAGTACTTGTAGTATTTGTAGTATTTGTAGTACTTGTAGTACTTGTAGTACTTGTAGTACTTGTAGTACTTGTAGTACTTGTAGTACTTGTAGTACTTGTAGTACTTGTAGTATTTGTAGTACTTGTAGTACTTGTAGTAGTTGTAGTATTTGTAGTAGTAGTACTTGTAGTACTTGTAGTAGTTGTAGTACTTGTAGTATTTGTAGTATTTGTAGTATTTGTAGTACTTGTAGTACTTGTAGTACTTGTAGTATTTGTAGTATACTTGTAGTATTTGTAGTACTTGTAGTACTTGTAGTAGTACTTGTAGTACTTGTAGTATTTGTAGTAGTACTTGTAGTACTCGTAGTACTCGTAGTACTTGTAGTACTTGTAGTAGTACTTGTAGTACTTGTAGTAGTACTTGTAGTAGTATTTGTACTTGTAGTACTTGTAGTACTTGTAGTACTTGTAGTACTTGTAGTACTTGTAGTACTTGTAGTACTTGTAGTACTTGTAGTACTTGTAGTACCTGCGATCCCGAAGCTGTAGGCTCGTGTGGTGTGGGGGAGGGTGAAGGGAGGGGGGCTGTACTCTGACAACAGAACCTCCCACTCAGTCAAGTTATTATCTCCAAAGAAATACAACGTGTCTGAAAAACAACGGAAATATAACAAATATATAACAAATATACAACCAAAATATACAACTGAAATACAACAAATATACAACCAAAATATACACAACAAATATACAACCAAAATACAAAAAATACAACAAATATACAACAAAAATACAAAATATACAACAAATATACAACCAAAATACAACAAATATACAACCAAAATACAACAAATATACAACCAAATACAACAAAATATACAAAAATACAACAAATATACAACAAATATACAACAAATATAAACAAAATAACAACAAATATACAACCAAAATACAACATGAACGGACTTTAGAATTCTATTTTTATTTAGTTTGACGTGTGATGATGTCAGAGTCTCAGGAGAGGCTCTCGTCCTAGAAAATGGGTTGAACCTGACATCGTCTGCCGCACTTTTTATTTGTGTTTTTTTTTTACTGTGACCCTGAGGATCAATAATCGGAGGCTCTGCTCTTCTGGAAATATCACGAAAAAAAATTGTGGCCATTTTAGTGTCGGTAACCTTCATTTTGTGATAGAAAATTTTGAAAAATGAAAAATGTCCTCAAATCCTGAGTGGATTGGGTAAAGTGTCTACAAATACATTCCAGATGTAAAGAACAACATGTGGTGACAACATTCAGTGAAAAACATATTCATCAAACACATTTCTACATGATTTTGGCTCAATTTAATGCCAGAAAATAAGGCATTTTTTCACTTTTTTCCAGTATTTTCATCTTTACTTCATTGGCAATCAACTATTCCCCCAAGTTTTGACATCAGCCAATATGCCATTCTTCTCTTCAAACACTATAGTCATTCCACAGAAAAAAATATACAAATAATATATATAAGGACTGAACCAGGTCTAAACCAGGACTAAACCAGGACTAAACCAGGACTAAACCAGGTCTAAACCAGGTCTAAACCAGGTCTAAACCAGGACTAAACCAGGACTAAACCTTTAGTTCATTTCTCCAGACACAGGAGAGTCTGAACTTTGTGACAGTTTTTGTTTCATGTGGAGATTTTCAGTAAATATTTTGAAGATTTGAGCCATAAACCAGGTCCTCGTGTCCCCCTCTCCCCTCGTGTCCCCCCCCCCCCCTCGTGTCCCCCCCTCGTGTCCCCCCCTCGTGTCCCCCCCTCGTGTCCCCCCCCCCCCCCCTCGTCCCCCCCCTCGTGTCCCCCCCCTCGTCCCCCCCCCTCGTGTCCAGTCTGCGTTTGTCTCACCGTTTCCCAGAGCGTCGAGACTCTGAGGCCGGAGGAGCTGCTCCACAAACTCCCTGAAGGACACGTCCACTGTGGAGACACCAGCGACTCAGGAGCTGATATTTGTAGTATGTGTAGTACTGTGTGTAAATACTGCAGTACCTTTCCTGTAGGAGTAAGTGTTTGCAGTACTCAGTCTGACCGTGCGGTCTCCGTACTCTCGCAGTAAGTTCTGCTTCGAGCAAAGTCTCTGGAACTTCTGCAAAACAACAACAGAAGAACGATTTTCAAACTGAATCCAGGTTTGAGTCTGAGTCGTTCTTCAAACTCTCCTCCTCAGGTGTTTGTCCAGGATACAGCAGTTTCTTCTCACTGACCGTCTGAGGTTTACCTGGACTTGCTCTTCTAATCAGCGCACAGTGGGAGGGGCTTGTGTTCGCTGAGGCGACCATATTTAAATCTGTAAAAACCCGGACACCTGGGGGAAGGAGGGGGGGGGGGGGAGTCTCACCGTTTCACGGATTTTATTTATTTTTATTTTTTTACAGCGTATGAACGCGTATTGTGTATTACAGGCGGGTAGTAATTACACACGGGTGGGTCAGGACTAAACCAGGACTAAACCAGGACTAAACCAGGACTAAACCAGGACTAAACCAGGACTAAACCAGGTCTAAACCAGGTCTAAACCAGGACTAAACCAGGACTAAACCAGGACTAAACCAGGACTAAACCAGGTCTGAACCAGGACTGAACCAGGACTGAACCAGGACTGAACCAGGACTAAACCAGGTCTAAACCAGGACTAAACCAGGACTAAACCAGGACTAAACCAGGACTAAACCAGGACTAAACCAGGTCTAATCTTGGACTTAAGAGAGAAAACCCCGAGCAGTTTGTCCACAAAGTGAGATCGAGCAACTGCCGCGTTTAACTCCTGTGAGGAGCAGAGCTGAGCCGCTCCTTTCTCCTGCGTCACCTCCAAACCCGACCTGACGGTGAGTCCTGGTTCAGTCCTGGTTTAGTCCTGGTTCAGTTCTGTTTTAGTCCGAGTTCAGTCGTGGATTAGTCCTCCTCTTCAGTCCTGGTTTAGTCTTGGTTCAGTCCGTGTCGTAGGCAGCGCAAAAGTTTGATATAATCTCGGGTTAACGGGCAGGTGCGGTCCTGTCCTGGCGGGTGTGGTCCTGTCCTGGCAGGTGTGGTCCTGTCCTGGCAGGTGTGGTCCTGTCCTGGCAGTGTGTCCTGTCTGGCAGGTGTGGTCCTGTCCTGGCAGGTGTGGTCCTGTCCTGGCAGGTGTGGTCCTGTACTGGACTCTGCTCTGTCGGCTCCATTATGGAATAAATGAATCTTCAGTTTGTTACATAAAGAAGGAGGAAAATAACAAAAGGACGACAGCAGCAACAAGTTTTAAGAAGGAAGTAAAAAGTGTTGCACCTGTCGATCCTGTCGGAGAAAAGTGTATAAAGTTTGTGCTGAGGTTTTACAGACTTAAAACAGATAGAATAATTGTAAAATATAAAGTTGATACTTGGTGGATTTCAACTATCGCAGGTTATTTTTAGAACATAACTCCCACGATAAACGAGGGACACTGAACTCTCACCTCAACCTGTGCACATGGACTCACACTTGTCCCGACCGGGACGGAAAACTGACAATTTCTTGTCCAAGTCGTTGTTAAATGTGCTTTTGTGCTTCAGTGTGTTTCAGACTGACCGATGCTACGAGAGACGATCGATTTAATGAACGATACTGAAAACCCGGACATTTGCATCACTTTATAAAAAAAAAAAAAAAAACCCAGACATTTGCATCACTTTATAAAAAAAAAAAAAAAAACCCAGACATTTGCATCACTTTATAAAAAGAAACCGGATGCCCCGGACAGGACGCAAAATACGGACATGTCCGGGGAAAAACGGACGTTTGGTCACACTTGTGTTGGCTGTACGCAGGAAGGAGCGAGAGCGTGAAAAGGCGAGGGGCGGCGTGCTGACGTGAGGCAGGTGGACAGGTAGGATGTTTAGGAAGTTGAACCTGCCCTGTGATGCACGCTGGTACACGAGGGCACACGCTGTCGCAGACGAGCCGTGCATAGGGAGCGTGTGTGTTTGTGATGCGCCGTAGAGTCTCCGCGGGTTTCAAATGAGCGCACAGGCTGCACTGAGACGCCCCACACGCTCCTGCACCCGCTACAAGTACTACTACTACTACTACTACTACACTTCTACCACCGAGTACTACAACAGGTACCACACGCTCCTGCACCCGCTACAAGTACTACTACTACTACTACTACTACTACTACACTTCTACCACCGAGTACTACAACAGGTACCACACGCTCCTGCACCCGCTACAAGTACTACTACTACTACTACTACTACTACTACTACTACACTTCTACCACCGAGTACTACAACAGGTACCACACGCTCCTGCACCCGCTACAAGTTTATTACCAACAGCAGCGGCTGTAATGAAACATGATCACACTTGTTGAGCGTCAGACCTCGAGTGAGAGACAAGACCGAGTCCAAACACGAGTCCGAGACGAGACACGGCGATCGACCCACACGACCTCTGAGCACCTCTGGTTTATACTGTGCTCAGCTCGAGCAGGTGTGAGATGTTTGAAGTGAAGCTCACCGTGTTGTCTGTGACGCCTCTGAGGATCACGGGGCGACTGAACGCAAACCTGTCCAAAAAAACAACAGGATTATGAAGAAAACAAACAGTTTTTACCCATCGTTTCATGTTTCTAACACACACTGACATGAGACGGACCTGTCCAGAAAGTCCGAGTAGGAAATAGTGTCCAGCACCTGGATGTTACAGCGCCCCCCGTCGTCCAGACTGGGATCTGCACTCGAGATCCTGAGAAGAAAACGACCAGTAGACAGTGTTGGGAGGGTGACTTTTAAAATGTAATCCCCTACAGATTACAGATTACACACCCCAAAATGTAGTTTGTAACAGAATCCATTAAGTTACTTCAAGTGAGTAATGTAATCTGATTACTTTGGATTACTTGATATTGTCATGTTTTTTAAAACGACATGAATGAACCAACCACATCCTGAAAATTCTCGTTTGTTTTCTTCAAATTGTGTGTTGAGCCCAAATCTCCATGAACAGACTTTTGTTTGTTGTAGAAAAGCAAAGACGAGGATCTGAATAAATAATAATAAATCTGAATAAATCTGTTTAAAGAAAATAAAAAGTCCAGTCTTTACTTCACCGTATTAAAAATATTATTGATAGAAAAATGATTTTTATATGAGACACTGCAGCCTTAAAGTCTGTTCACCTACTGTTAGTGTCAGACTGTTTAGACCTGGTTTAGTCCTGGTTTAGACCTGGTTCAGACCTGGTTTAGTTCTGGTTCAGACCTGGTTTAGTTCTGGTTCAGACCTGGTTTAGTTCTGGTTCAGACCTGGTTTCTCTGTTTCAGTTTGTGGTCTGGCTCCACCTTTCTCTTTGTTATTATATTATATTGTGATGTGTGAGGACTAAATCAGGTCTAAACCAGGACTAACTCAGGTCTAAATGAGGACTAAACTGAGACAAATTTACAAAAATACAGTTTTGTAAGTCGCCGCTAGATGGCGCTAAAGTCTAAATGTTTCTCACTGATTCATTTATTCAGGATCATTTCTACTTTTTTTAATAATCTAGAATAATTTGAAGGTTAAAACTATGGATCTAATCAAATATAAATAAATAAACATAAATTAGGGTGAACAGATTTTCAAAATAAAATAAACTGGGACATGCCTGTTTTTTTGGTGGTTGATTTTAAAACCTCTCAGGTTTTTCATCTTGTTTTCAGATTTTATTTTCTACTCACTCGTTCTGAATCGGTTGTTTCATCTTAAAAAGTGTCACATATTTTTCTTCTCGACTCGACTCGTCAGAAAATCTTAAATTTAGGCGAAAAATGTTTAAAAGAAGAAGCGACGATCCATTTACAAGAACTTAGATCTAGAATTTAGCCTCTTTGAATTTATTCTCAGGTCGTGAACACAAGCAGAATTTAAAGCATTTAATTTAGAATTTAGCAGAATTTAAAGCTGTTATTTAGAATTTGGCATCTTTGGCATCAAAATAAAATAAAGTGGGACATGCCTGTTTTTTTGGTGGTTGATAATAATAAAATTGTAAGATGAGTGTGTAACTACAGAAAATTGTTCTGCAGAGACAATTCATGACCAACATGAGTCAGTTTAGTCACATTTTCTTTGTGTTTTGGTCATTTTTCAGCAGATTTTCTGTATTTTACCAAAACAAATGTCTGTTTATGTTTCTCTTTACTGTCAGCAGGAATAAAACTGGTCCAAAACAGAGACACTGGGACATTTCTTGTATAAATTGGGACAAATCAGTGGTTTTGTATAAATCTGTGGGACAGAGACACAGGGACATGTGGACTCACCAAACAGAAATAAAAAAGTGGAGTTTTTTAGTTCTGTTTGAGAATTTAAAGTTGTATTTACACAAGAAAATCACGTTTTAATTCGCTCATGAATAAAAAATAAATTATAAAAGCGTAATAGAAAAACAGTAACTCAAAAATATGAATTAAAATATTCCAGTTTAAATGATTTTGTGTTTGAGTTTGTGACGCACCATCCGCCTCCATCCGCCGCGCTCCAGCCCGCGGACACCAACCCGAGCCGAACCCAGCCGAACCACACCAGAACCCAGACCAGAACCCAGGACAGAACCGGCCCCCAGCGGAGCTCCATCACCCCGGCTCCTCCGGCTCTTCCAGCGGCTCCTCCGGCTCCTCCAGCGGCTCCCGGAAGTGCAACGGATCCGGCGGAGGTTTCTGGAAAAAAACTCAGTCCGCCTCATCCGACGCTTCCGGGTTCACGGCCAATCAGATCGCACCACATGCAGAGCCGCGCTGACGTCACTCCAGCGCGGGCTCACTCAGGGTTTGAAGTTTTTCCATTCACATCAGGACAAAGGCACGTGCGCCCCGTGTGTCAGGTCCCTCCCCCTGTGTGTGTCAGGTCCCTCCCCCTGTGTGTGTCAGGTCCCTCCTCGTGTGTGTCAGGTCCCTCCTCGTGTGTGTCAGGTCCCTCCCCCTGTGTGTGTCAGGTCCCTCCTCGTGTGTGTCAGGTCCCTCCTCGTGTGTGTCAGGTCCCTCCTCGTGTGTGTCAGGTCCCTCCCGTGTGTGTCAGGTCCCCCCTGTGTGTGTCAGGTCCCTCCTCGTGTGTGTCAGGTCCCTCCTCGTGTGTGTCAGGTCCCTCCCCCTGTGTGTGTCAGGTCCCTCCTCGTGTGTGTCAGGTCCCTCCTCGTGTGTGTGTCAGGTCCCTCCTCGTGTGTGTCAGGTCCCTCCCCCCCGTGTGTCAGGTCCCCCCGTGTGTGTCAGGTCCCTCCTCGTGTGTGTGTCAGGTCCCTCCTCGTGTGTGTCAGTGTGTCAGGTCCCTCCTCGTGTGTGTCAGGTCCCCCTCCTCGTGTGTGTCAGGTCCCTCCTCGTGTGTGTCAGGTCCCTCCTCGTGTGTGTCAGGTCCCTCCTCGTGTGTGTCAGGTCCCTCCCCCCTCGTGTGTGTCAGGTCCCTCCTCGTGTGTGTCAGGTCCCTCCTCGTGTGTGTCAGGTCCCTCCCCCTGGAGGATTAAAGTTTCATCTTAAAATATTTCAGTTTTATTTTAGTTGTTTAATACGACGGAGTAAAAGGGTCAGATTAAAACAAAGTAAAGGTGCTGGTGCTACGAGAATAAAGTTGTAACATTTCAACATCATATTTGATAATATTTAGGCAGAACATCTTTACAGTAAAACACATGTGTTTTATCTCTATATTTTTAAGTCTGTGTATGAAGTGTGTGAGGACTGGGCCTGTATTTATACATATACACGTAGATACGTGCTGATCTGAACGGTCAAATTATGAGCGCGTGTGAGAGATTCAGATGCCCTCCCCTGGAGAGCGAAAGGAGCGAGGGAAGGACACGAGGACACGAGGACACAGATTTAGCACGAAACACATCAGATACAGATGTTATTCTGCCAATGAAAGTCCAAACGAAACATCCAAACTGCTGAACCTGTGAGTGCGGGTCTGTGAGTGTGTGTCTGTGAGTGTGGGTCTGTGAGTGCGGGTCTGTGAGTGCGGGTCTGTGAGTGTGTGTCTGTGAGTGTGGGTCTGTGAGTGGGTCTGTGTGTGTGTCTGTGAGTGTGGGTCTGTGAGTGTGTGTCTGTGAGTGTGTGTCTGTGAGTGTGGGTCTGTGAGTGTGGGTCTGTGAGTCGGGTCTGTGAGTGTGTGTCTGTGAGTGTGTGTCTGTGAGTGCGGGTCTGTGAGCGCGGGTCTGTGAGCGCGGGTCTGTGAGTGTGGTCTGTGAGTGTGTGCGGGTCTGTGAGTGCGGGTCTGTGAGTGCGGGTCTGTGAGTGCGGGTCTGAGTGAGTGGGTCTGTGAGTGTGTGTCTGTGTCTGTGAGTGCGGGTCTGTGTCTGTGAGTGTGGGTCTGTGAGTGTGGGTCTGTGAGTGTGGGTCTGTGAGTGCGGGTCTGTGAGTGCGGGTCTGTGAGTGCGGGTCTGTGAGTGTGGGTCTGTGTCTGTGAGTGTGGGTCTGTGAGTGTGTGTCTGTGTCTGTGAGTGTGTGTCTGTGTCTGTGAGTGTGGGTCTGTGAGTGCGGGTCTGTGCGGGTCTGTGAGTGTGGGTCTGTGAGTGCGGGTCTGTGAGTGCGGGTCTGTGAGTGTGGGTCTGTGAGTGTGGGTCTGGGTCATGTGCTCAGTTCCCATTACACAAAAATGTAGGGCAGATTTTGGTTGGGGTCAGGTTCGGGCAGTGGGCTTCGTGTTGTCCACAGACTCGGGTCACAGACTCGGGTCACAGACTTGGGTCACAGACTCAGGTCACAGACTCGGGTCACAGACTCGGGTCACAGACTCGGGTCACTCTGGCGCTCGGTGCGTAAAGACTAGAGTAAAAGTGTTAAAGTTTTGTTCATTAAATCAAAGTCTGGCTCCTGCTGCGTCCGAGGGAAGAGTTTTTCTCTCTCAGGTCATATTTCGTCCTCTGTGTGGTCAGTCTGTGTTGGTCAGTCTGTGTTGGTCAGTCTGTGTTGGTCAGTCTGTGTTGGTCAGTCTGTGTTGGTCAGTCTGTGTTGGTCAGTCTGTGTTGGTCAGTTGTGTTGGTCAGTCTGTGTTGGTCAGTCTGTGTTGGTCAGTGTGTGTTGGTCAGTGTGTGTTGGTCAGTGTGTCAGTCTGTGTTGGTCAGTTGTGTGTTGGTCAGTGTGTTGGTCAGTCTGTGTTGGTCAGTCTGTGTTGGTCATGTGTGTTGGTCAGTCAGTCTGTGTTGGTCAGTCTGTGTGTTGGTCAGTCTGTGTTGGTCAGTCTGTGTTGGTCAGTTGTGTTGGTCAGTCTGTGTTGGTCAGTTTGTGTTGGTCAGTCTGTGTTGGTCAGTCTGTGTTGGTCAGTTGTGTTGGTCAGTCTGTGTTGGTCAGTCTGTGTTGGTCAGTCTGTGTTGGTCAGTCTGGTGTGTTGGTCAGTTGTGTTGGTCAGTCTGTGTTGGTCAGTCTGTGTTGGTCAGTTGTGTTGGGTCAGTTGTTGGTCTGTGTTGGTCAGTCTGTGTGTTGGTCAGTCTGTGTCGGTCAGTCTGTGTGTTGGTCAGTCTGTCAGTTGTGTTGGTCAGTCTGTGTTGGTCAGTGTGTTGGTCAGTCTGTGTGGTCAGTCTGTGTTGGTCAGTGTGTGTGGTCAGTCTGTGTTGGTCAGTCTGTGTCGGTCAGTCTGTGTCGGTCAGTTGTGTGTCAGTCTGTTGTTTGGTCAGTCTGTGTTTCAGTGTGTTGGTCAGTCAGTCTGTGTTGGTCAGTCTGTGTTGGTCAGTCTGTGTTGGTCAGTTGTGTTGGTCAGTCTGTGTTGGTCAGTCTGTGTTGGTCAGTCAGTCTGTGTTGGTCCAGTCTGTGTTGGTCATGGTCAGTCTGTGTTGGTCTGTGTTGGTCAGTTGTGTTGGTCAGTCTGTGTTGGTCAGTCTGGTCAGTCTGTGTTGTCAGTTGTGTTGGTCAGTCTGTGTTGGTCAGTTGTGTTGGTCAGTGTGTGTTGGTCAGTGTCTGTGTTGGTCAGTCTGTGTTGGTCAGTCTGTGTTGGTCAGTGTGTGTTGGTCAGTGTGTGTTGGTCAGTCTGTGTTGGTCAGTCTGTGTTGGTCAGTTGTCTGTGTTGGTCTGTGTTGGTCAGTCTGTGTTGGTCAGTTGTGTTGGTCAGTCTGTGTTGGTCAGTCTGTGTTGGTCAGTTGGTCAGTCTGTGTTGGTCAGTGTGTGTTGGTCAGTTGTGTTGGTCAGTCTGTGTTGGTCAGTCTGTGTTGGTCAGTCTGTGTTGGTCAGTGTGTGTTGGTCAGTCTGTGTTGGTCAGTCTGTGTTGGTCAGTGTGTGTTGGTCAGTCTGTGTTGGTCAGTCTGTGTTGGTCAGTCTGTGTTGGTCAGTCTGTGTGGTCATGTGTTGGTCAGTTGTGTTGGTCAGTCTGTGTTGGTCAGTTGTGTTGTTGGTCAGTCTGTGTTGGTCAGTGTTGGTGTGTGTTGGTCAGTGTGTGTGTTGGTCAGTGTGTGTGTTGGTCAGTCTGTGTTGGTCAGTGTGTTGGTCAGTCTGTGTTGGTCAGTGTGTGTTGGTCAGTCAGTTTGTGTTGGTCAGTCTGTGTTGGTCAGTGTGTGTGTTGGTCAGTCTGTGTTGGTCAGTGTGTTGGTCAGTCTGTGTTGTGTTGGTCAGTTGTTGGTCAGTGTGTGTGGTCAGTCTGTGTTGGTCAGTCTGTGTTGGTCAGTCTGTGTTGTCTGTGTTGGTCAGTTGTGTTGGTCAGTCTGTGTTGGTCAGTCTGTGTTGGTCAGTCTGTGTTGGTCAGTGTGTGGTCAGTTGTGTTGGTCAGTGTGTGTTGTGTGTGTTGTCAGTCTGTGTGGTCAGTTGGTCAGTCTGGTCAGTCTGTGTTTGGTCAGTTGTGTTGGTCAGTCTGTGTTGGTCAGTGTGTGTTGGTCAGTTGTGTTGGTCAGTCTGTGTTGGTCAGTTGTGTTGGTCAGTCTGTGTTGGTCAGTCTGTGTTGGTCAGTGTGTGTCTGTGGTCTTGTTGTGGACTGTGAGACTCTGCGCTGCACCGAGTCCAGGAACATGTTCGCGCTCGTGCACGAGTGTCAAATGTTTAATATTGTGGAGAATAATGATGGAATAAACAGCTCTGCTCCGTATTTTAACCAAACACTTAAATGTACAAATCTGAAGGTCATTCTTCTGTATACGTGGATTTTCTGATCAAACTCTTCCTCAAACTCTGTTCACTTCTGCTTCTCTCCACGAGTGTCGCTTTTTCCCCGTGTCTCCAGACTTTGTGTAGAACTTACAGGAGGTTCAGAGTTGGTGTAGAGTTAAACAAAGAGCCACGACTTAGTCGAGTTTTATAAATACCGCGGTTGGCGTAGGAAGCGCACGCACGGATTTTTGCGTAAGCGAGATTTATAAATGAGGCCCCTGGTTTTGTCCTGGTTTAAGTCACGGAAATGGGAAATAGTGTTTGTCTCTTTAAAATGCGATGCGGGACTGAACCAGGACTGAACCAGGACTGAACCAGGACTAAACCAGGACTGAACCAGGACTGAACCAGGACTAAACCAGGACTGAACCGTTTTCAGTTCTTGTCTGGTCCCGGTCTCAGTCTTGGTCCCTGACTCAGTTCTTGTCTAAGTTCTGGTCTCAGACCCGGTCTGGTCTCGGACCTCGTTTAGACCTGGTTTAGTTCTGGTTTAGTCCTGGTTTAGTTCTAGTTTAGTCCTGGTTTTGTCCTGGTTCAGACCTGGTTTAGTCCTGGTTTAGTTCTGGTTTAGTTCTGATTTAGTCCTGGTTCAGTCCTGGTTTAGTCCTGGTTTAGTCCTGGTTTAGTCCTGGTTTAGTTCTGGTTTAGTTCTGGTTTAGTCCTGGTTTAGTCTTGGTTCAGACCTGGTTTAGTTCTGGTTTAGTCCTGGTTCAGTCCTGGTTTAGTCCTGGTTTAGTCCTGGTTTAGTCCTGGTTCAGACCTGGTTTAGTTCTGGTTTAGTTCTGGTTTAGTCCTGGTTTAGTCCTGGTTCAGACCTGGTTTAGTTCTGGTTTAGTTCTGGTTTAGTTCTGGTTTAGTCCTGGTTTAGTCCTGGTTTAGTCCAGAGGTGCAAATAATGAAGAAAATTGTTCATTTTCTTATTTTTGGTTTTATTTTGAAAAACAAGGTTCTTCTTCTGCCGCATTTTTCACTTTGACTTTGATTTTATTACGATTTTATTCTCGTAAAATTATCACTTTAATGTCGAAATGTTACGACTTTATTCTCGTAGCGCCAGCATTTATTTTTTTATCTGACCCTTTTACTCCGTCGTAGTTTTAAACACAGAAAGTGTTATTTTAACTCTTCGAAATAAAGTTAATTTAAGTTATTTCAACTTCTCTTTGTGTTAATTCAACTTTTCTTAGTGTTAATTTGTCTCCTCCACTTCAAACTCCCTCCAGTTTGAACCAGTTTGAACCAGTTTTGTTCATAATTTCATCTTAAATTAACTCAAATAAAGTGTCAAAATAAAACCCCTCTGTGTGTGGTTGAGTTAAATCAGAATAACTCTACACAGTGTTCTCTGTTTATCATTTAACTCTGGGTTTGGGTTAAACAGGAACTTTGGTCCAGTTTTACTTCATGAACATTTACACAAATAATTATTCAATTAAATCTAGAACTGAGAAAATGTTCAAATTGATTCAGTCAGAGTCAGTTTTAACTCTGCACTTTTTACTCTGTGTATTTTGGATTTGTACATATTTGTTCTGGACGTGATCCTTGTTTTTGTTCATCAGTTCAGTTTATTTTATTTTATTTTGTCTGTTTTTCTTGAGGATTTGTTTGCAGAGACACGACAGAATCACAGTGTTGTAATGTTTTTATTGATTGTTGAAAGACGACAGAGTTTGAGGCGTGGACGTTCCTCGGGCGTTTCCTTCATCGGCGCCGGAACGTTCTGTACACTTCATGTTTCAGAAGTTCAACAGTTTTAGGCTCAGTGCTTTTCTCACAGAAATACAGTTTCAAATCCCCAAAGTCGCAGGAAAAGTGCCGTGTCCAGAATCACCAAAACACACTTCAGTTACATTCAAGATTTGACCTTTTTTTTTTTTTTTTTTTTGGTCCGTTTTTTTCCGTTTCAAATCTTCCTTCCTGCTGATAAATGGTGACGTCACGACACGGGAGAATTTCATCACTGCAAATTCCTCAGGTCTGACCAAGATTTTAAAACTTCTCTCAGGTTTTTCATCTTGTTTTCAGATTTTATTTTCTACTCACTCTCGTTCTGAATCGGTTGTTTCATCTTAAAAAGTGTCACATATTTTTCTTCCAAGACTCGACTCGTCAGAAAATCTTAAATTTAGGCGAAAAATGTTTAAAAGAAGAAGCGACGATCCATTTACAAGAACTTAGATCTAGAATTTAGCGTCTGAATTTATTCTCAGGCCGTGAACACAAGCAGAATTTAAAGCATTTAATTTAGAATTTAGCTGAATTTGAAAGCATTTTATTTAGAATTTGGCGGAATTTAAAGCATTTTATTTAGAATTTGGTGTCTTTGAATTTATTCTCAGGCCATGAACACTGAACATAAACTGATTTTAAGTTTGTTTATCTCAAACTGAGCCTCATAAATTTATTTCCAGCCCATGAACTCTGAGCTCAGACGCTTCATTCTCGTCGAGAGTCGATTATTTTAACAGAATTTGTCGAGTAAAATGATTTCGCTGCACGGACACGTCATTTCTTTTCTTTAAGTCATTTTCTGGTTGATTTAAGTGTTTAGATTTAAATCTTGGCCGAGCTTTTCTGCAGCGTGATCCCAAACAAACTCTAAACTCGTCTAATTTCCCTGAGATTCTGACGTGACAAATAAAAATCAAGTTTCAAGAGTCAGAAAAATGTGTTTTTGTGTAAATTGTGTCAAAGTTTTGGACAGAATTCTCCCGGTGTGACGTCACAAATGTGTTTTAGAACTTCCACTTTTTCACAAATTGCTGCTTGTTTAGTCTAAAATTATAATTTCTTTTTCCAGCAGATTTTATCTCAGCAGATTAAGAAATAAGAGGAAGATAAAAACGGGCCGTGTGCGTCTTTAAATCAGTAACCTGAATTTCCTTCAAATAAAAGTAAAAGGTCTAAAAGTAAAAATGCTACGACTCCACAAACCAGAACAAGTGCAAAAAAAAGAATCGGTTTTGACTTCATTAAAAACACGGAGGAGCTCAGAAAGAAAACGTCCTGATGTTTCACTTTCGGCGCTCTGAGTCCTAAGTCGCTCCCCCTTCAGAGCGCCGTCACAATCAGGAACGTGACGATTTCAGAAAGAACGAATTAACGTTTATTTGATTTTTTACTGTAAATTATGATTTTTTTGGTCTTTTTTCTTTTTTCTTTTTTTTTTTGATCAAAGTAAAATAAAGTTAAAAAATCTGGCAACAAAGGCTTTAAAAACAGAAACTTTAAAACATTTAGAAAAACTAAATGACTTATATTTATATTTGTGTTTTTTGCCGCGATTAGAACGAAAACTAAGGTGAGGGGACAGAGGGACAGGTGAGGGGAAGGTGAGGGACAGGGGGACAGGTGAGGGAAAGGGACAGGTGAGGGACAGGTGAGACAGGGGACAGGGACAGGTGAGGGACAGGTGAGGGGACAGGTGAGGGGACAGGTGAGGGGACAGGTGAGGGGACAGGTGAGAGGACAGGGGGACAGGTGAGGGGACAGGTGAGAGGACAGGTGAGGGGTGAGAGGACAGGTGAGAGGGACAGGTGAGGGACAGGTGAGGGGACAGGTGAGGGACAGGTGGGAAGGGGACAGGAGGGACAGGTGAGAGGGGACAGGTGAGGACAGGTGAGAGGGGACAGGGGGACAGGTGAGGGGACAGGTGAGAGGACAGGTGAGGGGACAGGGGGACAGGTGAGGGGACAGGGAGGACAGGAGGGGACAGGTGAGAGGACAGGGACAGGTGAGACAGGTGAGGGACAGGTGACAGGTGAGGGACAGGTGAGGGGACAGGTGAGAGGACAGGTGAGAGGGGACAGGTGAGGGACAGGTGAGGGGACAGGTGAGGGGACAGGTGAGGGACAGGTGAGAGACAGGTGAGGGGACAGGTGAGGGACAGGTGAGGGGACAGGTGAGGGACAGGTGGGGGACAGGGGACAGGTGAGGGACAGGTGAGAGGACAGGTGAGGGGACAGGGGACAGGTGAGGGGACAGGTGGGGACAGGTGAGGGGACAGGTGAGGGGACAGGTGAGGACAGGTGAGAGGGGACAGGTGAGGGACAGGTGAGGGACAGAGGGGACAGGTGAGGGACAGGGGACAGGTGAGGGGACAGGTGAGAGGACAGGTGAGGGACAGGTGAGGGACAGGTGAGAGGACAGGTGAGAGGACGTGAGGGGACAGGTGAGGGACAGGTGAGGGGACAGGTGAGGGGACAGGTGGAGGACAGGTGAGGGGACAGGTGAGAGGACAGGTGAAGGGACAGGTGAGGGGACAGGTGAGAGGACAGGTGAGGGGACAGGTGAGGGACAGGTGAGGGACAGGTGACAGGTGCGTCGTTATGGCAGCAGGTGCATGTAGAGCAGAGCGGCAGGGGCCATCAGGAGCAGGGAGAGGGACAGGTGCGTGGACAGGTGCGCCCCTGCGTCGGACACGTTGCCGTTGGAGTCGAGGAAGCCGGGCGGGTTGGAGCTGGTGTGGCCGCGGATCCACGTCTGGTACCGCGACACTCGGGCGTAAACGCCGGGATACTGCGCCAAACCGCAGCCGATCCCGAAACTGACCACGCCCATCTGCACCCACGAGCCGTTTATCTTCAACACCAACGGACCGCCGGAGTCTCCCTGAACACACACACACACACACACACACACACACACACACACACACACACACACACACACACACACACACACGGGGTTAGAGCATGGAAACTGACCGAACCCGACTGAAGTCCAACCAAACCCCAACTGTACTCAGTTGAAATCCGACCGAACCCCGACTGCACATCGACCGAACCCAACCATAGTCCGACTGAACTTGACCGAAGTCCGACTGAACCAGACTGAACCCCAACCGAACCCGACCGAAGTCGAACCAAACCTGACTGAAGTTCGAACGTACCTGACCGAAGTCCGACTGAAGTCCGACCGAACCCTACCGAAGTCCGACCGAACCTGACTGAAGTTCGACCGAACCCTAACCAAACCCGACCAAACTCGAATGAAGTCTGATCGAAGTCTGACCGAAACCCGACCGAACTCTGACTGAAGTCCACCCAAACACCGACCGAACCTGACCGAAGTCCGACAGATATGTAGAGCTTCTGTTTGGACTCGGGTCGGACTTGGACACTAAACCCTAACCCTTTGAAATGTAAAATTAAAAACATCTTCAGATTGTGGACAGAGACACTTGGACATGTGTGTGTGACAGGTGCGGGCAGGTGCGGGCAGGTGCGGGCAGGGCTCACCTGACAGGAGTCCTTCCCCGCTCGTCCTGCACACAGCATGTTACTGGTGATGTCCTGGCCGTTGTAGTTTGCGTCACACGTCGACTGAGACACGACGGGAACTGAGACCTCCTGAAGACGCTGAGGGAACGGAAGCTCCTCTGAAACCAGACCAGACCGGGACTCAGACCAGACCGGGACTCAGACCGGGACTCAGACCGGGACTCAGACCGGGACTCAGACCGGGACTCAGACCAGACCAGACCGGGACTGAAACGGGGTCAGCTCTATGTTCTCACAGCCCATTGGTCCCTCATAGATTTTTTTCCCGTCGTCTGAAGTGTCGCTGTAGGTTTGTGGAACGTCCAGTGAATGTTTTTCTGTGTAAATGTTTTGTGGGAACATAGAGCTGTGGAACATAGAGCGGAGGGAACATAGAGCTGAGGGAACATAGAGCTGTGAGAACATAGAGCTGGGAACATAAAGCTGAGAGAACATAGAGCTGTGGAAACATAGACATGAGGGAACATAGAGCTGTGGAAACATAGAGCTGTGGGAACATAGAGCTGAGGGAACATAGAGCTGAGGGAACATAGAGCTGTGAGAACATAGAGCTGTGGTGAACATAAAGCTGAGAGAATAGAGCTGAGGGAACATAGACTGTGAGAACATAGAGCTGGAACATAGAGAACTAGAAACATAGACATGAGGGAACATAGAGCTGTGGACATAGAGCTGAGGGAACATAGAGCTGAGAACATAGAGCTGTGGGAACATAAAGCTGAGAGAACATAGAGCTGTGGAAACATAGACATGAGGGAACATAGAGCTGTGGGAACATAGAGCTGGGAACATAGAGCTGAGGAACATAGAGCTGAGGGAACATAGAGGAACATAGAGCTGTGGAACATGAGGGAACATAGAGCTGAGGGAGAGCTGAGAACATAGAGCTGTGGGAACATAAGCTGAGAGAACATAGAGCTGTGAAACATAGACATGAGGGAACATAGAGCTGTGGGAACATAGAGTGAGGGAACATGAGCTGAGGGAACATAGAGCTGTGAGAATAGAGCTGTGGGAACATAAAGCTAGAGAACATAGAGCTGTGGAACATAGACATGAGGGAACATAGAGCTGTGGGAACATAGAGCTGTGGGAACTGTGGGAACATAGAGCTGAGGGAACATAGAGCTGTAGAGCTGAGAGAACATAGCTAGAGCTGTGGAACATAGAACATAGAGCTGAGAACATGAGCTGGAACATAGAGCTGTGGGACATAATGGAAACATAACATAGACATGAGGGAACATAGAGCTGTGGGAACATAGAGCTGTGGAACATAGAGCTGAGGGAACATAGATGGGAACATAGAGCGGGAAATAGAGCTGGGAACATAAGCTGAGAGAACATAGAGCTGTGGAACATAGATGGGGAACATGAGTGTGGAACATAGAGCTGTGGGAACATAGAGCTTAAGGAACATAGAGCTGTGGAAACATAGAGCTGTGGGAACATAGAGCTGAGGGAACATAGAGCTGTGGGAACATAGAGCTGTGGGAACATAAAGCTGAGAGAACATAGAGCTGTGGGAACATAGACATGAGGGAACATAGAGCTGTGGGAACATAGAGCTGAGGGAAGATAGACATGAGGGAACATAGAGATGTGGGAACATAGAGCTGTGGGAACATAGAGCTGTGGGAACATAGAGCTGTGGGAACATAGAGCTGTGGGAACATAAAGCTGAGAGAACATAGAGCTGTGGGAACATAGACATGAGGGAACATAGAGCTGTGGGAACATAGAGCTGTGGGAACATAGAGCTGAGGGAACATAGACATGAGGGAACATAGAGCTGATGTGGGAACATAGAGCTGTGGGAACATGAGCTGAGGGAACATAGACATGAGGGAACATAGAGCTGGGAACATAGAGCTGGGAACATAGAGCTGAGGAACATAGAGCTGTGGGAACATAAAGCTGAGAGAACATAGAGCTGTGGGAACATAGAGCTGAGGGAACATAGAGCTGTGGGAACATAGAGCTGTGGGAACATAGACATGAGGGAACATAGAGTTGTGGGAACATAGACATGAGGGAACATAGAGCTGTGGGAACATAGAGCTGTGGGAACATAGACATGAGGGAACATAGAACTGTGGGAAAATAGAGCTGTGGGAACATAGAGCTGTGGGAACATAGAGCTGAGGGAACATAGAGCTGTGGGAACATAGAGCTGTGGGAACATAGAGCTGTGGGAACATAGACTGAGGGAACATAGACATGAGGGAACATAGAGCATGAGGGAACATAGAGCTGTGGGAAACATAGAGCTGTGGGAACATAGAGCTGAGGGAACATAGACATGAGGGAACATAGAGCTAGAGGTGAGGGAACATAGAGCTGGGAACATAAGGGAACATAGAGCTGTGGGAACATAGACATGAGAACATGAGAACATAGAGCTGTGGGAACATAGACATGAGGAACATAGAGCTGAGGGAACATAGAGCTGTGGGAACATAGAGCTGAGGGAACATAGAGCTGTGGGAACATAGAGCTGAGGAACATAGAGTGAGGGAACATAGAGCTGTGGGAAATAGAGCTTGGAACATAGAGCTGTGGGAACATAGAGCTGAGGGAACTAGAGCTGTGGGAACATAGAGCTGTGGGAACATAGAGCTGAGAGAACATAGAGCTGTGGGAACATAGACATGAGGGAACATAGACATGAGGGAACATAGAGCTGTGGGAACATAGAGCTGTGGGAACATAGAGCTGTGGGAACATAAGCTGAGGAACATAGAGCTGTGGGAACATAGAGCTGTGGGAACATAGAGTGAGGGAACATAGAGCTGTGGGAACATAGAGGGAACATAGACATGAGGGAACATAGACATGGGAACATAGAGCTGTGGGAACATAGAGCTGTGGAACATAGAGCTGTGGGAGCATAGAGCTGGGGAACATAGACATGAGGGAACATAAGCTGAGAGAACATAGAGCTGTGGGAACATAGAGCATAGAGGGAACATAGACTGGGGAACATAGACATGAGGGAACATAGAGAGTGGGAACATAGAGAGAACATAGAGCTGTGGAACATAGAGCTGGGAACATAGAGCTGAGGGAACATAGAGCTGTGGGAACATAGAGCTGTGGGAACATAGAGCTGTGGGAACATAGAGCTGTGGGAACATAGAGCTGTGGAACATAGACACACTCCCACTGAAACAGGTCTAAAGCAGGTGTTTGTCTTACGTCCGGAGTTGACGGTTCCCCAGCCGGTGACCCAGACGTCGGTCCCGGCGGCGGGCGCGTTCCCGGCGGCGGCGAGGCACACGGGCCGGATGTAGTTGGTGAAGGAGACGGCGCGCGAGAGTCTCAGGAGGCACATGTCGTTGTCGCTGGTCTGATCGTCGTAGCTCGGGTGTCTGATGATGTCGGACACGGAGCGCGACACCTCGTTCAGGTTGGAGAGCTGCTGCGTGTCCCGGCCCAGGTACACGGTCAGACCCGACGTGCTGGTGCTGAGGCCACAAACAGTCAGATGCCCTCCCACAAACAACACCCCAACACTTTTACATTTACATCCTTCTTATCTAACTCCAGGCTCTTTGTTTAGAAATTATTATCACTGTTTATATTTTTACTCTTTGTGATTTTTGTGATTATCACATTTTTACTCTTTGTTATTATCTCTTTTTATTCTTTGCGATGATCATATTTTAACTTTTTTTAAATAATATTTTTACTCTTTGTAATTATCATATTTTCCCTTTTTGTTATCATAATATTTAGATTTTATATCATCTTATTTTTAGGCTTTGTGATTATAATATTTTTTCTTATAATATTTTTTTCTTTAGTTTTTCTTATTTTAATTGTCGTTATATTTTAAGTAGAAAAAGTTTTGTTTCTTTGTGGATCATTTCACTCGTCCTGTGAGTTTTACTCAAGTCATGATCAAACTTTCTTAATTCAAGTCGTCTAAATTTAGATTTCAGTTTCTGCAGAGTCAAATGTTCCTGGAATGTGAGGAGGTGCTAAGTCNGGTTGGAGCTGGTGTGGCCGCGGATCCACGTCTGGTACCGCGACACTCGGGCGTAAACGCCGGGATACTGCGCCAAACCGCAGCCGATCCCGAAACTGACCACGCCCATCTGCACCCACGAGCCGTTTATCTTCAACACCAACGGACCGCCGGAGTCTCCCTGAACACACACACACACATAACACACACACACACACACACACACACACACACACACACACACACACACACACACACACACACACACACACACGGGGTTAGAGCATGGAAACTGACCGAACCCGACTGAAGTCCAACCAAACCCCAACTGTACTCAGTTGAAATCCGACCGAACCCCGACTGCACATCGACCGAACCCAACCATAGTCCGACTGAACTTGACTGAAGTCTGACCGAACCTGACCAAAGTCTGACCGAAACCTGACCGAAGTCCGACTGAAGTCGAACCAAACCTGACCGAAGTCCGACCGAACCCGACCGAAGTCCGACCGAACCCGACTGAAGTCCGACCGAAACTGACCGAAGTCCGACCGAACCTGACCGAAGTCCGACTGAAGTCCGACCGAACCCTACCGAAGTCCGACCGAACCTGACTGAAGTTCGACCGAACCCGACCGAAGTCCGACCGAAACTGACCGAAGTCCAACCGAACCTGACTGAAGTCTGACTGAAGTCCGACCGAACCCTAACCAAACCCGACCAAACTCGAATGAAGTCTGATCGAAGTCTGACCGAAACCCGACCGAACTCTGACTGAAGTCCACCCAAACACCGACCGAACCTGACCGAAGTCCGACAGATATGTAGAGCTTCTGTTTGGACTCGGGTCGGACTTGGACACTAAACCCTAACCCTTTGAAATGTAAAATTAAAAACATCTTCAGATTGTGGACAGAGACACTTGGACATGTGTGTGTGACAGGTGCGGGCAGGTGCGGGCAGGTGCGGGCAGGGCTCACCTGACAGGAGTCCTTCCCCGCTCGTCCTGCACACAGCATGTTACTGGTGATGTCCTGGCCGTTGTAGTTTGCGTCACACGTCGACTGAGACACGACGGGAACTGAGACCTCCTGAAGACGCTGAGGGAACGGAAGCTCCTCTGAAACCAGACCAGACCGGGACTCAGACCGGGACTCAGACCGGGACTCAGACCGGGACTCAGACCGGGACTCAGACCGGGACTCAGACCAGACCGAGACTCAGACCGGGACTCAGACCAGACCAGACCGGGACTGAAACGGGGTCAGCTCTATGTTCTCACAGCCCATTGGTCCCTCATAGATTTTTTTCCCGTCGTCTGAAGTGTCGCTGTAGGTTTGTGGAACGTCCAGTGAATGTTTTTCTGTGTAAATGTTTGTGGGAACATAGAGCTGTGGGAACATAGAGCGGAGGGAACATAGAGCTGAGGGAACATAGAGCTGTGAGAACATAGAGCTGTGGGAACATAAAGCTGAGAGAACATAGAGCTGTGGAAACATAGACATGAGGGAACATAGAGCTGTGGAAACATAGAGCTGTGGGAACATAGAGCTGAGGGAACATAGAGCTGAGGGAACATAGAGCTGTGAGAACATAGAGCTGAGGGAACATAGAGCTGAGGGAACATAGAGCTGTGAGAACATAGAGCTGTGTGAACATAAAGCTGAGAGAACATAGAGCTGAGGGAACATAGAGCTGTGAGAACATAGAGCTGTGGGAACATAAAGCTGAGAGAACATAGAGCTGTGGAAACATAGACATGAGGGAACATAGAGCTGTGGGAACATAGAGCTGTGTGAACATAGAGCTGAGGGAACATAGAGCTGAGGGAACATAGAGCTGTGAGAACATAGAGCTGTGGGAACATAAAGCTGAGAGAACATAGAGCTGTGGAAACATAGACATGAGGGAACATAGAGCTGTGGGAACATAGAGCTGTGGGAACATAGAGCTGAGGGAACATAGAGCTGAGGGAACATAGAGCTGTGGGAACATAAAGCTGAGAGAACATAGAGCTGTGGGAACATAGACATGAGGAACATGAGAAACATAGAGCTGTGGAACATAGAGCTGGGAACATAGAGGTGGAAACATAGAGCTGTGGGAACATAGAGCTGAGGGAAACATAGAGCTGAGCATAGAACATAGAGCTGTGGGAACATAAAGCTGAGAGAACATAGAGCTGTGGGAACATAGACTGAGGAACATAGAGCTGTGGAACATAGAGCTGAGGGAAGATAGACATGAGGGAACATAGAGCTGTGGAATAGAGCATAGAGCTGTGGGAACATAGAGCTGTGGAACATAGAAGCTGAGAGAAACATAGAGCTGAACATGAGGAACATAGAGCTGGGGAACATAGAGCTGTGGGAACATAGAGCTGAGGGACATAGAGCATGAGGAACATAGAGCTGAGGGAACATAGAGCTGTGGGAACATAGAGCTGTGGGAACATAGAGCTGAGGAACATAGACATGAGGGAACATAGAGCTGTGGGAATAGAGCTGTGGGAACATAGAGCTGAGAGAACATAGAGCTGTGGGAACATAGCTGAGCTGAGGAACATAGAGCTGAGGGAACATAGAGCTGTGGGAACATAGAGCTGTGGAACATAGAGCTGTGGGAACATAGACATGAGAACATAGAACATAGAGAGGGAACATAGACTGTGGGAACATAGAGCTGTGGGAACATAGACATGGGGGAACATAGAGCTGTGGGAAAATAGAGCTGTGGGAACATAGAGCTGTGGGAACATAGAGCTGAGGGAACATAGAGCTGTGGGAACATAGAGCTGTGGGAACATAGAGCTGTGGGAACATAGAGCTGAGGGAACATAGACATGAGGGAACATAGAGCTGAGGGAACATAGAGCTGTGGGAACATAGAGCTGTGGGAACATAGAGCTGAGGGAACATAGACATGAGGGAACATAGAGCTGAGGGAACATAGAGCTGTGGGAACATAGAGCTGTGGGAACATAGAGCTGTGGGAACATAAAGCTGAAAGAACATAGAGCTGTGGGAACATAGACATGAGGGAACATAGAGCTGAGGGAACATAGAGCTGTGGGAACATAGACATGAGGGAACATAGACATGAGGGAACATAGAGCTGTGGGAACATAGAGCTGAGGGAACATAGAGCTGTGGGAACATAGAGCTGAGGGAACATAGAGCTGAGGGAACATAGAGCTGTGGGAACATAGAGCTGTGGGAACATAGAGCTGTGGGAACATAGAGCTGAGGGAACATAGAGCTGTGGGAACATAGAGCTGTGGGAACATAGAGCTGAGAGAACATTGAGCTGTGGGAACATAGACATGAGGGAACATAGACATGAGGGAACATAGAGCTGTGGGAACATAGAGCTGTGGGAACATAGAGCTGTGGGAACATAGAGCTGAGGAACATAGAGCTGTGGGAACATAGAGCTGTGGGAACATAGAGCTGAGGGAACATAGAGCTGTGGGAACATAGAGCTGTGGGAACATAGAGCTGAGGAACATAGAGCTGTGGGAACATAGAGCTGTGGGAACATAGAGCTGTGGGAACATAGACATGAGGGAACATAGACATGAGGGAACATAGAGCTGTGAACATAGAGCTGTGGGAACATAGAGCTGGGGGAACATAGACATGAGGGAACATAGAGCTGTGGGAACATAGAGCTGAGAGAACATAGAGCTGTGGGAACATAGAGCTGGGGGAACATAGAGCTGTGGGAACATAGAGCTGGGGGAACATAGACATGAGGGAACATAAAGCTGTGGGAACATAGAGCTGAGAAACATAGAGCTGTGGAACATAGAGCTGTGGAACATAGAGCTGAGGAACATAGAGCTGTGGGAACATAGAGCTGAGGGAACATAGAGCTGTGGGAACATAGAGCTGTGGGAACATAGAGCTGTGGGAACATAGAGCTGTGGGAACATAGACACACTCCCACTGAAACAGGTCTAAAGCAGGTGTTTGTCTTACGTCCGGAGTTGACGGTTCCCCAGCCGGTGACCCAGACGTCGGTCCCGGCGGCGGGCGCGTTCCCGGCGGCGGCGAGGCACACGGGCCGGATGTAGTTGGTGAAGGAGACGGCGCGCGAGAGTCTCAGGAGGCACATGTCGTTGTCGCTGGTCTGATCGTCGTAGCTCGGGTGTCTGATGATGTCGGACACGGAGCGCGACACCTCGTTCAGGTTGGAGAGCTGCTGCGTGTCCCGGCCCAGGTACACGGTCAGACCCGACGTGCTGGTGCTGAGGCCACAAACAGTCAGATGCCCTCCCACAAACAACACCCCAACACTTTTACATTTACGTCCTTCTTATCTAACTCCAGGCTCTTTGTTTAGAAATTATTATCACTGTTTATATTTTTACTCTTTGTGATTTTTGTGATTATCACATTTTTACTCTTTGTTATTATCTCTTTTTATTCTTTGCGATGATCATATTTTAACTTTTTTTAAATAATATTTTTACTCTTTGTAATTATCATATTTTCCCTTTTTGTTATCATAATATTTAGATTTTATATCATCTTATTTTTAGGCTTTGTGATTATAATATTTTTTCTTATAATATTTTTTTCTTTAGTTTTTCTTATTTTAATTGTCGTTATATTTTAAGTAGAAAAAGTTTTGTTTCTTTGTGGATCATTTCACTCGTCCTGTGAGTTTTACTCAAGTCGTGATCAAACTTTCTTAATTCAAGTCGTCTAAATTTAGATTTCAGTTTCTGCAGAGTCAAATGTTCCTGGAATGTGAGGAGGTGCTAAGTCCCTCCCCCTTCAGAGCGCTGGAAATGATCCGAACACACAGTAACATAAACATCAGGTCTGCCCAGTTTAGTGTCATGTTTTTGTGCCAGGAGAGATCTCTGGATGAGTCAGACACTCGTGGGTGACTCTAGAACCTTCTGTGTGTTTGTGATGTAATAGAAAAAGTTCCGCAGTGGAGCTTTAACCCTGCGGTGACTCACCTGGAGAAGCAGTGCGCCGCCGTCAGGACCCACTGATCGTTTATGAGAGAACCTCCACAGAAGTGAGACCCGAACCTGAGGAAAGACCAGAACCAGGACTGAACCAGGACCGAACCAGGACCGAACCAGGACTGAACCAGGACTGAACCAGGACTGAACCAGGACTAAACCAGGACTAAACCAGGACTGAACCAGGACTGAACCAGGACCGAACCAGGACCGAACCAGGACCGAACCAGGACTGAAACCAGGACTAAGACTGAACCAGGACTGAACCAGGACCGAACCAGGACTGAACCAGGACTGAACCAGGACTAAACTAAGACTGAACCAGGACTGAAGCAGGACTGAACCAGGACTAAACCAGGACTAAACCAGGACTGAACCAGGACTAAACCAGGACTAAACCAGGACTGAACCAGGACTGAACCAGGACTGAACCAGGACCGAACCAGACTGAACCAGGACTGAACCAGGACTGAACCAGGACCAACCAGGAACCGAACCAGGACCGAACCAGGACTAAACTAAGACTGAACCAGGACCGAACCAGGACCGAACCAGGACTAACCAGGACTAAAACCAGGACTGAACCAGGACTGAAAGGACTGAACCAGGACTGAAACCAGGACTGAACCAGGACTGAACCAGGACTGAAACCAGGACCGAACCAGGACTAAACCAGGACTAAACCAGGACTAAACTAAGACTGAACCAGGACTAAACCAGGACTAAACCAGGACTACTAAACAGGACCGAACCAGGACTAAACCAGGACTAAACCAGGACTAAACTAAGACTGAACCAGGTCTAACCAGGACTAAACCAGGACTGAACCAGGACCGAACCAGGACTGAACCAGGACTAAACCAGGACTAAACCAGGACTAAACCGGGACTAGAGCAGGTCTTACTTGGTCAGTGACGCCTGCCAGGGCCATGATCCTGCAGATGCATCTTCTCCACCAACGATCTTCGTCTTTGAGTTCAGAGGAGCAAGACCACAAACTGAAACAGAGAAACCAGAACTGAACCAGAACTAAACCAGGACTGAACCAGAACCAGAACTAAACCAGAACTGAACCAGAACTAAACCAGGACTGAACCAGAACTAAACCAGGACTAAACCAGGACTAAACCAGAACTAAACCAGGACTAAACCAGACTAAACCAGAAACTAAACCAGGACTGAACCAGGACTGAACCAGAACTAAACCAGGACTGAACCAGGACTGAAACCAGGACTAAACCAGGACTGAACCAGGACTAAAACCAGGAACTAAACCAGGACTAAACCCAGGACTAAACCAGGACTAAACCAGGTCTAAACCAGGACTAAACCAGGACTGAACCAGAACTAAACCAGGACTGAACCAGAACTAAACCAGGACTAAACCCAGGACTAAACCAGGACTAACCAGGACTGAAACCAGAACTAAACCAGGACTAAACCAGGAAAACTAAACCAGGAACTAAGAAACCAGGACTAAACCAGGACTGAACCAGAACTAAACCAGGACTGAACCAGGACTAAACCAGGACTGAAACCAGGAACTAAACCAGGAACTAAACCAGGACTAAACCAGGACTAAAACTAAACAGGACTAAACCAGGACTAAACCAGAAACCAGGTAAACCAGGACTGAACCAGAACTAAACCAGGACTGAAACCAGGACTAAACCAGGACTCTAAACCAGGACTAAACCAGGACTAAACCAGGACTAAACCAGGACTAAACCAGGACTAAACCAGGTCTAAACCAGGTCTAAACCAGGACTAAACCAGTTCTAAACCAGGACTAAACCAGGTCTAAACCAGGTCTAAACCAGGTCTAAACCAGGTCTAAACCAGGTCAGATTCAAATGTTCTCAGTCGTGTGAGTCTTTGTGATTTTAGGAAAATGTCGCAGAATCATGGAACATTCAAATCCACCCTGTGATGTCATCATGTGGTGATACAGCAAGTGCTCCACTGTGTTTTTAAACTCCACACAGCTTCACCAGGATCATGTGGATCATTTCAGTCCTGGAGTCCTGGAGTCCTGGGGTCCTGGAGTCCTGAGGTCCTGAGGTCCTGGAGTCCTGGAGTCCTGGGGTCCTGGAGTCCTGGGGTCCTGGGGTCCTGGAGTCCTGGAGTCCTGGGGTCCTGGGTCCTGGAGTCCTGGAGTCCTGGAGTCCTGGGGTCCTGGGGTCCTGGGGTCCTGGGGTCCTGGAGTCCTGGAGTCCTGGAGTCCTGGGTCCTGGATCCTGGGTCCTGGAGTCCTGGAGTCCTGGAGTCCTGGGTCCTGGGTCCTGGAGTCCTGGAGTCCTGGGGTCCTGGAGTCCTGGAGTCCTGGAGTCCTGGGGTCCTGGAGTCCTGGGTCCTGGAGTCCTGGAGTCCTGGAGTCCTGGAGTCCTGGAGTCCTGGGTCCTGGAGTCCTGGAGTCCTGGAGTCCTGGAGTCCTGGAATCCTGAGGTCCTGGAGTCCTGGAGTCCTGGGGTCCTGGAGTCCTGGAGTCCTGGATTTCTAGTGGACGGGCGTCGGTTTTTGCCATCGGCTGTGATCAGACTCATGTAAATAAAGGCGCCGCGGTTTGTTGTTGGTTTGTTGTCGGTTTCGTGGATACAAGAGCTCGAAATGAGTTTCCTCCGCAGGGCGTCTGGGCGTCTCCCTTAGAGACAGAGTGAGGAGCTCAGTCACACGGGAGGAGCTCGGAGTAGAGCCGCTGCTCCTCCACGTCGAGAGGAGCAGTTGAGGCTCGGGCATCTGTTCCGGATGCCTCCTGGGCGCCTCCCTCAGGAGGTGTTCATGTCCCACCGGGAGGAGGCCCCGGGGAAGACCCAGGACACGCTGGAGGGACTATGTCTCTGGACTGGCCTGGGAACACCTCGGGGTCCCCCCGGAGGAGCTGGAGGACGTGTCTGGGGTGAAGGAAGTCTGGGAGTCCCTGCTTAGGCTGATGCCCCCGCGACCCGACCCCGGATAAGAGGAAGAAAATGGATGGATGGATGTTGTCGGTTTGTTGTCGGTTGATTTAGTGAAGTGAAAGTTTGATGCGGCTGAAGTTCGTTTTTGGGTCTGAACTTCCTCTCGGTTTGGGGGCGGAGTTTAACCCCACCTCACGTGCACTTTAACCCCACCTCACGTGCACTTTAACCCCACCTCACGTGCACTTTAACCCGGCCTCACATGCACTTTAATCCCACCTCACGTGCACTTTAATCCCATCTCACGTGCACTTTAACCCCACCTCACGTGCACTTTAACCCGGCCTCACGTGCACTTTAACCCCCACCTCACGTGCACTTTATCCCAACCTCACGTGCACTTTACCCCGACCTCACGTGCACTTTAACCCGGCCTCACGTGCACTTTAACCCCCACCTCACGTGCACTTTAACCCCACCTCACGTGCACTTTATCCCAACCTCACGTGCACTTTACCCCACCTCACGTGCACTTTAACCCGGCCTCACATGCACTTTAACCCCACCTCACGTGCACTTTAACCCGGCCTCACGTGCACTTTAACCCCACCTCACGTGCACTTTAACCCCACCTCACGTGCACTTTAACCCGACCTCACGTGCACTTAAACCCGGCCTCACGTGCACTTTAACCCCACCTCACGTGCACTTTAACCCCACCTCACGTGCACTTTAACCCGGCCTCACATGCACTTTAACCCCACCTCACGTGCACTTTAACCCACCTCACGTGCACTTTAACCCCACCTCACGTGCACTTTAACCCGTCACCTCACGTGCACTTTAACCCCCACCTCACGTGCACTTTAACCCGGCCTCACATGTACTTTAACCCGGCCTCACGTGCACTTTAACCCCACCTCACGTGCACTTTAACCCCACCTCACGTGCACTTTAACCCCACCTCACGTGCACTTTAACCCCACCTCACGTGCACTTTAACCCGGCCTCACGTGCACTTTAACCCCCACCTCACGTGCACTTTAACCCGGCACTCACACGTGCACTTTAACCCCCTCACGTGCACTTTAACCCACCTCACGTGCACTTTAACCCCCACCTCACGTGCACTTTAACCCCCACCTCACTTCACTTGCACTTTAACCCACACTTTACACCTCACGTGCACTTTAACCCGGCCTCACGTGCACTTTAACCCCACCTCACGTGCACTTTAACCCGGCCTCACGTCACTTTAACCCGTGCCTTTACCCCACCTCACGTGCACTTAACCCCTCACGTGCACTTTAACCCCACCTCACGTGCACTTTAACCCGGCCTCACGTGCACTTTAACCCGGCCTCACGTGCACTTTAACCCGACCTCACGTGCACTTTAACCCGGCCTCACGTGCACTTTAACCCCACCTCACGTGCACTTTAACCCAGCCTCACGTGCGCTTTAACCCGAGTCTGAATCAGCGGTGTGTAAAATGGGACGTGGGCCTCACCTCCGGGTTGTCCTCGGGCTCCTGAAACACAAACAGAACAAACATCAGAAAAACTCACAGGAGTAAAAATACTTCTACTCTGTACTCTGGAGTACTGTTACTTCAATAAAAATATGACTCAAATTAGAGTAAAAATATGACTCTTTTTACTCCTATTTGAGTCATAAAAATGTACCTCAAATAGGAGTAAAATGTGCTGTAGAAACACTCTGAAAAGTACATTTAGTTTCAAGTGTGTTTGAGTTTTCTTGTGTTGGACTGAGGAGAAAAATGTTGCATAATTCCTCTTTAAATAAAACCTGCTGTGTCATTGTCCCGTCACCTGTCTGTGTGCTTTGTCCCTGCCGGTGTGTGTGTGTGTATAGTGTGTGTGTATGTGTGTGTGTGTGTGTGTGTGTATAGTGTGTTGTGTGTGTGTGTGTGTGTGTGTGTGTATAGTGTGTGTATAGTGTGTGTGTGTGTGTGTGTATAGTGTGTGTGTGTGTGTGTATAGTGTGTGTGTGTGTGTGTGTGTATAGTGTGTGTGTGTGTATAGTGTGTGTGTGTGTGTGTGTGTGTGTGTGTGTGTGTGTATAGTGTGTGTGTGTGTGTGTGTGTGTGTGTATAGTGTGTGTGTGTGTGTGTGTGTGTGTGTGTGTATAGTGTGTGTGTGTGTGTATAGTGTGTGTGTGTGTGTGTGTGTGATAGTGTGTGTGTGTGTGTGTGTGTATAGTGTGTGTGTGTGTGTATAGTGTGTGTGTGTGTATAGTGTGTGTGTGTATAGTGTGTGTGTGTGTGTGTGTGTGTGATAGTGTGTGTGTGTGTGTGTGTGTGTGATAGTGTGTGTGTGTGTGTGTGTGTGTGTGTGATAGTGTGTGTGTGTGTGTATAGTGTGTGTGTGTGTGTGTGTGTGTGTGTGTGTGTGTATAGTGTGTGTGTGTGTGTGTGTGTGTGTGTGTGTGTGTGTGTGTGTGTGTGTGTGTGTGTGTGTGTGTGTGTGTGTGTATAGTGTGTGTGTGTGTATAGTGTGTGTGTGTGTGTGTGTGTGTGTGTGTGTGTGTGTGTGTGTGTGTGTGTGTGTGTGTATAGTGTGTGTGTGTGTGTGTGTGTGTGTGTGTCTGCGGGTGAAGACGAGGGTGAAACTTTACTTGGAGGAAATGTTAGTGATTCAAACCGGTCGGTCCAGTCGGGGGTTTTATCTCTGTCACAGTGAAAACACAAACACAGGGAATCAAACCCTCAACCTCACCGCCCACACTCTGCCCCTGTCACTGTCAGGGAGCGTGCACGGGCGCGGTCGGGCTCCACCGGGTCTGGCTCCAGTTCAGGTTTGATCTAAAATTAAACCGTTTTGATCTTTTCAATCGTGTGAACCGGTCACACTTTTACATTTTCTCCTGTAGTTTCCGTTTCAGTCTGTGGAGTTTAAAGAAGAAAAGAAGAAGAAAAGAAGAAGAAAAGAAGAAGAAGAAGAAGAAAAGAAGAAGAAAAGAAGAAGAAGGTTTGTGAACATTTGAGACGTGTCGGTGTGTGAACGTGACCTGGACGTTCACACACATGTCACATGTTAAAGATCAGATCACTTTAGAATGAAAGTGACGTGAGTGTGTCTTGATGGGACCAGTGGAAATCTCTTCGTGGTTTTTGTTCTCGAGACATTAGTCCCGTTTTTTCCCCTTGTTTGATCCTGATGAGTCATTTCCAGAGGAACAGTGAAGAAATGAATCGTTTTATCCTTTCAGAGCTTCTAGATCAACCAAATACACAACAAAACCTGCCCATGTTTCTCCGACGCTGCTGAAGTCAGTGACATAGTGACATAGTCACATAGTGTGTCCGGTGTCATGGCGACGTAGGTACAGTTGCTACAGGGACATGTGACGGTGCAAAGACTCTATTTACACACAGTGACAGGTGAACACTCCAAAGGTGTAAAAAAAAAAAAAAAAAAACACTGTGTGAACCACGTGATGATGTAAAACAGTTGGGTGGGACTCAAACTTCCTCCTCGTCGTTTTGAGCTCCAGGCCCCAAATATGTTCATGTACTATTTTTGTTTTTGAATTTTTGTTGTACCTGCGCAAATAAATAAATAAATGAAATGAAATGTGTTTGGTTTTGGAGCACAGATCCAAGTGTCCAGGGTCGAGTTTGAAAAAATCACATTTGTGTGGTTCAGTCGTTAAAAGATCAGAAACACGTAAAATCAGATGTTTGTCGCTGCGGACGACGGTGACTCGGTTTTTCTCCAGCATCAGTGTTCGTGGAAAAACAAGGAAGTGTGACAAAAACACTTTTAGACACTTTGAGGATTTAAACATCAACAGTTTATGTTGTGAAAAGAGAAAAGAATCGTACAGAAAGTGAAAGTGGCTGTTGGACAAAGTATCATGTGAAAATCTATATTTGATTAATAAACAGTGTCGGGAAGTTTACTTTTAAAATGTAATCCCCTACAGATTACAGATTACACACTCCAAAATGTAGTTTGTAACAGAATCCATTAAATTACTTAAAGTGAGTAATGTAATCTGATTACTTGATTTGCTGTAGAGAAACAAAGACGAGGAAATCTTCACATAAGAAGTTTTGTCTGATAAAAGAAAATAAAAAACCCAAACTTTACTGAACCAAATTAAAAATATTATTGATAGAAAATGAAGAAACACGTCCACACAGCAGGATTTAGACCTGGTCTAGTCCTGGTTTAGATCTAGTTTAGACCTAGTTTTAGTCCTGGTTTAGACCTGGTTTAGTTTCCAGCAATGACTCTCTCTCTCTGTGACAGAGGGGTGTTCTCTCTGTGTCAGAGGGGTGTTCTCTCTGTGTGACAGAGGGGTGTTCTCTCTGTGTGTCAGAGGGGTGTTCTCTCTGTGTGACAGAGGGGTGTTCTCTCTCTGTGTCAGAGGGGTGTTCTCTCTGTGTGACAGAGGGGTGTTCTCTCTGTGTGACAGAGGGGTGTTCTCTCTGTGTCAGAGGGGTGTTTCTCTCTGTGTGACAGAGGGGTGTTCTCTCTGTGTGAAGAGGGGTGTTCTCTCTGTGTGACAGAGGGGTGTTCTCTCTGTGTGTCAGAGGGGTGTTCTCTCTGTGTGACAGAGGGTGTTCTCTCTGTGTCAGAGGGGTGTTCTCTCTCTGTGACAGAGGGGTGTTCTCTCTCTGTGACAGAGGGGTGTTCTCTCTGTGTGACAGAGGGGTGTTCTCTCTGTGTGACAGAGGGGTGTTCTCTCTGTGACAGAGGGGTGTTCTCTCTGTGTCAGAGGGGTGTTCTCTCTCTGTGTGACAGAGGGGTGTTCTCTCTCTGTGTGACAGAGGGGTGTTCTCTCTGTGTGACAGAGGGGTGTTCTCTCTGTGTCAGAGGGGTGTTCTCTCTCTGTGTCAGAGGGGTGTTCTCTCTGTGTCAGAGGGGTGTTCTCTCTGTGTGACAGAGGGTGTGTTCTCTCTGTGTCAGAGGGTGTTCTCTCTGTGTGTCAGAGGGGTGTTCTCTCTGTGTGACAGAGGGTGTTCTCTCTGTGTGACAGAGGGGTGTTCTCTCTGTGTGACAGAGGGGTGTTCTCTCTGTGTGACAGAGGGGTGTTCTCTCTGTGTGTCAGAGGGGTGTTCTCTCTGTGTCAGAGGGGTGTTCTCTCTCTGTGTCAGAGGGGTGTTCTCTCTGTGTCAGAGGGGTGTTCTCTCTGTGTGACAGAGGGGTGTTCTCTCTGTGTCAGAGGGGTGTTTCTCTCTGTGTCAGAGGGGTGTTCTCTCTGTGTGACAGTGGGGTGTTCTCTCTGTGTGACAGAGGGGTGTTCTCTCTGTGACAGAGGGGTGTGTTTCTCTCTGTTGTGACAGAGGGGTGTTCTCTCTGTGTGACAGAGGGGTGTTCTCTCTGTGTCAGAGGGGTGTTCTCTCTGTGTCAGAGGGTGTGTCAGAGGGGTGTTCTCTCTGTGTCAGAGGGGTGTTCTGTTCTGCTGAGAGGGGTGGTGTCTGCTGAGTGTTCGGTTCTGTGTTTGTGTCGTGATGTTTTCACTTTGTACATGTGCAGGTTTATCACAGATGCAGCGAGAACGAGAATGAAAATTACAATTGTTTGCAGGAGCGAGTGGAGCAGGACTGAACAGTGCGACTGTCCCAACAACACATGAAAACAGATTTAATAATAAAACCAGAACAGAAACAATAAAGTTAGAGATTAAAAATGAGATTAACGCGATTATAAAACATAATGCGCCAAATCTGACTGTAATTAATGAACCACAATTAACGTGATAATCTGACACCTTTAATTAAACCAGTAATTCCACTTTTATAAGGAGCTGGAACATGAGTCACTTTAAAACAAAACCACGACTCTGACAAACGACAATTAACAAAACCAAAGACCATTTAAAATATGACATTTCCTTTACAAATACACTTCATCATCTGAACCCGACAAGTTCAGACAAATATAAAAGTAAAAGTTCTTTTGAACAGAAGAGTTCGGTTCACGGTGTCCAGACGAAACAAACACAAGTGGAAAAACTGTTCATGATGGAAAAAGAAAAAACATCTGTCCAGTGTCATGTGATCACTTTGACCAATCAGAGCGAGAGGAGCCGAGCCAAAGATTAAAAAGAGTTTTTAAGACGACTGAAGGATTTTGAGCTGAGAAAAAGTTTATGATCAGTAAAAATCGCCACAAAATCTGAAATTTTTGAAAGTTGCAGCCCCTGTCAGCCCCTGTCAGCCCCTGTCAGCCCCTGTCAGCCCCTGTCAGCTCCTGTCAGCCCCTGTCAGCCCCTGTCAGCCCCTGTCAGTTTGTGTTACTTTGCCTCTGTGAGAAAAATCTTATCTCGTCTCAGAGGATTTTTCCGCTGAAGTTCCAGTGAGAGTCTCGACGAGAAACACAAACAAACAAACAAACAAACAAACAAACAAACGAACAAACAAACAAACAAACAAACAAACAAACAAACAAACAAACAAACAAACAAACAAACAAACAAACAAACAAACAAACAAACAAACAAACAAACAAACAAACAAACAAACCCGTGCAGATATTTGACCAGGTCGATGAGCCGCGTTTGCTTCGCCGCTGAACTGTCACATCCAGGTCATGTTACGTGTTGATTGGTCGGTGCTCGGTCACATGACCAGGACACAGTCACAGGACAGATACAGATTATTATTGTTTTTATTGTTTTTATTGTTTTTATTGTTGAAGAATAACTGTGTTGTTTTTTTCACGTTCACCTCGAGCTGTGGGGACGTCTCACTCAGATGTGTGTCTGTGTCTCTGTGTGTGTGTGTGTGTGTGTATGTGTGTGTGTGTGTATGTGTGTGTGTGTGTGTGTGTGTATGTGTGTGTGTGTGTATGTGTGTGTGTGTGTGTGTGTGTGTGTGTGTGTGTGTGTGTGTGTGTGTGTGTATGTGTGTGTGTGTGTGTGTGTGTGTGTGTGTGTGTGTGTGTGTGTGTGTATGTGTGTGTGTATGTGTGTGTGTGTGTGTGTGTGTGTGTGTGTGTGTGTGTGTGTGTGTGTGTGTGTGTGTGTGTGTGTGTGTGTGTGTGTGTGTGTGTGTGTGTGTATGTGTGTATGTGTGTGTGTGTGTGTATGTGTGTGTGTGTGTGTGTGTGTGTGTGTGTGTGTGTGTGTGTGTGTGTGTGTGTGTGTGTGTGTGTGTGTGTGTGTGTGTGTGTGTGTATGTGTGTATGTGTGTGTGTGTGTGTGTCTGTGTGTGTGTGTGTGTGTGTGTGTGTATGTGTGTATGTGTGTGTGTGTGTGTGTGTGATATCGTATCGTCAAAAGTCTCATAATAATATCGTGGTCTGTATCGATATATCGAATCACAAGTTTCTTTGTTTAAATTCAGGTTTTATAAACATCAGAAACTACATTTCCCATGATTCATTTCAGCGCAGACGACCTGAAGAAATGTGTTTTTACTTGAATTCTTGGGATTTTGACGGAAATATTTCACACCAGAATCTTGTCAAAGTGTTTTAAAAACAAAAAAGTGTCAAATCTACAATTATATCGACCTCTGCAGAATATCACAATAAATATCGTATCGAGAGATTTAGATATTGTTACATCTCCGGTCCTTATATGTGTGATCCTCAGAGGTCCAGAACTGAACCAGGACTGAACCAGGACTGAACCAGGACTGAACCAGGACTGAACCAGGACTGAACCAGGACTAAACCAGGTCCATGTGTGTGTTCTCATCTCTGTGTCTTACACTTGTTCTGATCCAGTTCCATTTTGTTCTAAACACATTCAGGAAAGGTTCTAAAGGTTCTAAAGGTTCTAAAGGTTCTGCTCTGTTCTGAAAATGAGACTTTTTCAGGATCCAGATCTGAGGAAAACCAGGATCTGGTTTGGATCTGATTTTTACCAGAAGAAAAAAACATGAACTTTTGCTCCAGAGTCATAAACCAGTTTTACAACCACCAAGAATGTGACCTTAAACCTGGACTAAACCTGGACTAAACCAGGACTAAACCTGGACTAAACCTGGACTAAACCTGGACTGAACCAGGTCTGAACCTGGATTAAACCTGGACTAAACCAGGACTAAACCAGGACTAAATGTGTGGACAGTTTTGTGTTGTTCTGATCTAATCTCAGTTTTCATATTTGCATGACCCATGTTTGACTTGAGAAAATTTACATGAAAATTCTGAACAAAAGTCCTGGAAAAGTCCTGAGTCCAGACCTGCAGGGACCATGTCCAGACCTGGAGTCTCTCTGGAAAAGTCCTGAGTCCAGACCTGCAGGGACCATGTCCAGACCTGGAGTCTCTCGTTGGTGTTTGGAAAACGGTTTGATCCGTGTGTATTTGATAATGATTCCGGGACCAGACCAGACCTGGAATCATGATCTGTTATCCATCTCAGTCCTGGTCTCAGTCCTGGTTTAGTCCTGGTCTCAGTCCTGGTCTCAGTCCTGGTCTCAGTCCTGGTCTCAGTCCTGGTTTAGTCCTGGTCTCAGTCCCGGTCTCAGTCCCGGTCTCCTGTCTCAGTCCTGGTTTAGTCTCAGTCCCGGTCTCAGTCCTGGTCTCAGTCCTGGTTTAGTCCTGGTCTCAGTCCCGGTCTCAGTCCTGGTCTCAGTCCTTATCATCCGACAGTCTACGAGTGAGCACCTCTGGACCCGTCCCAACACTCAGTCCTGGTTTAGTCCTGGTTTAGCCCTGGTTTACACCTGGTTTACACCTGGTTTAGTCCTGGTTTAGTCCTGGTTTAGTCCTGGTTTACACCTGGTTTAGACCTGGTTTAGTCCTGGTTTAGTCTGTTATCTTTTTTTTTTTTTTCCATTTTTCATTTAAACACAAAATCAAAAACTGAAAATTTGAATCTTTATCTGTTTTTTCATTTTGGTTTTGGAGACAAATAATGAAGAAAATCTTTTCTTTCTTTTTTTTTTTTCGTTTTCTTATTTTTGATTTTATTTTGAAAAACAAAGACACAGATTTCTTTGCCTGTTTTAATGTTGATATTTAATTGAACTGAAGTTTTTGTCTGTGGATCCAGAGTCGACCATAAAACGGTCATAAAAATGTGTTTTATGACAGTTTTACAGTTGAACAGAGGAAAGTTTGTCGTTGTTTCCTGTTTCTAAGACGTGAAAAGAAAAAACAAACGTGTTTGTCACAAAAACTGCAGCGATTTTTCAGCTTTGTCCTTCAGCAGAAAACTTCAAATAAACCAGAAAATCAAATATCAACATTTAAATAAACGAGACAGTTTTTTGATTGGTGATATTTGAAAAAAAATGTTAATGAAAAATTGAAAATCGAGGTCGAAATCTGTTTTTTGTTTGACACTAAAACAGAAAAATAAAATAAACAGTTGAGCTCTGACCTGACTCTGACCTGACTCTGACCTGACTCTGACTCTGACCTGACTCTGACCTGACTCTGACCTGACTCTGACCTGACCTGACTCTGACCTGACTCTGACCTGACCTGACCTGACCTGACTCTGACCTGACTCTGACCTGAGCTCTGATCCTCCTTGTCAATAAACGCAACAATGACGTCACCACG